CCTGTTAAAGTTTTTGGGTAAGAGGGGCTCCATCCCTGGCCACAGACTTCAGTGACCTGCACTTGGAACATCATAGACTGGTTGATTGTTTGCTTTATAATATCATATGTCACATTCATGCGTGCTACACAACGTAAAATCGCAATCACATATGACTTTTTACATTATACTGTGTTGTTTAACAAGCGTAGATTTGTCAATGTATAGGAAGTTATGTACGTCCAAAAATGTTTTCTCGTGGCAAAACAAACAGAAATCGCCTCCAAGGTTTGAAGTTGGTTTCCGTTTTGTATCTTGGTTAAACTGTAATATGGAACCTTCAGTCTTTCACCATACCTCATGCATCATTACGGATTTAGTATAACCCGTACAAAACTAACTATGATCAGGAGAATTAGTATAAAGTTGCCTGTAGGACGTACATAATCACATTTATTTAGATAAAAAATATACATCACTGTAGTTTTTAGTGTGTAGTTACTCGGGTGATGAGGTTTCTTTGCAATAAGATTTCCTTTGAGATGTATTTGGGGAAGATGAACAGTTGTTATGGATAATTAATTCAACTTATGTCGTAAATTTCAGTGGGCCACAAAGTTTTATGACAAGAAGAAATCGTTTGTGATCATTCTTACTAACGTCAGTATGCATGTCTCCTTTGATATATATATTTGAATATATTTAGATAAATAACTTTTCAAAGTATCTAAATTTATTTCATATATCCACAGCTCTCTCAATAATGGTTACTCTGTTTGCATCTACTTTATATATGTATGTGATAATCTACTGATATCGTTACATGTGTACAAGTACCGTCTGTGTTCACACAACTCTCCCCTCCCCCAGCGACCCGACCCCCGACGACTCCCTGGGCTTCAAGTGGGAGGCGGCGACCGAGGACAACCTCCACTACCTTGCCCTCAAGCCCTCGCCCACCATGGAGGCCGATCAGCGACAAGAGGTGAGTCACTCTCTGTGCATCATTAGTGAGGCAGGCAGCCATACATACGCCCGCACGCACACATTCATATATTATTTTCATCTAAATATGCAAATATATTCAACACTTCTATTTTCTTTATCTACATATACAAATATATATGAAAAATCTAGTGTTCATTGGTTAAAAATCTTTTTTTTCTTGTCTCTTTTGCCAGGCGCGAGATTTCCACGCGTCTCTCCCAACGAAGCAGAACCAGCTCCTTCACCCCGAACGCGTCGTCCCCGTAGGAGCCAACGAGTAAGACGGAGGCGTTGCAGCGAACGCATCTTCGGTCACCGCTCTTGGACCCCACCGCCTAGTTTCCCGTGTGCTTCGGATGCAGCTGAAATACCCTCGGAGGACGACGGCGGCCTTTGGACCTGTTTCGGACGGCGCCTAACAATTGCAAGTATCCACTCCAAGGTGCCGAACTAACAAACAACAAACAAGTAAACAAGGTCCACTCCTCAGCATGCGGAGTTTTTTTCCGTGTAAGGTTAACCTCGCCGGACCAAGCGAAGGTAGCGCAGACGAGAGACAAAGACGAGCCGAGACGGACAGCAGCAATTTTCAGGTTATGTATCCCACATTGCACGCTACTGATTATTCCCTCGTGTTCAGGAACTAACGCGAGCACTAGTGACAGTGCTAGTGAGACGTATAGTGACTGTGACTGTGATCGTGGTTTGTCGTGACCTTAATTGACTGTAATCGTGAGCAATTCTGACCGTGCATGACCATCAGTAATTGGTGACTTACATAAGACTGATATGAACAGTATTTGCGTGCAGTTTTTCATGTTTTGTTTCTTTTATTTTTTATCTTGATTGCCAATTTCCTTTAATGTTGTTTGTTGAATGTTATGTAATATACTATTTGAATAATGAATTGTTTACCTTTTTATAATTTCCTATCTTTAAATATATATATATATATATATATATATATATATATATATATATATATATATATATATATATATATATATTATATATGTGTTTGTGTGTGTGCAATTCAGTTTACTTAATGACAGTCGTAATCACGTGATAAATGAAAAATAAGAGAATAAGAATAATATTTACATTAATGAACACTGAACACCAGCCTCTGGAGACAGCCTTCAAAACACAATGTAAACCGTAATATTGATAGATAGTACTCAACTCCTTGGTGGCTGCGACCAGTTTATCTGAGTTGCCTCTACCCATCGATTATAACTTGATCACATTAGCCTTAATATCACTACAGCGTGAGAATAGGGCTGAATAGTGATGAATATGTCCTTCGTTGGCTCACGCGACCTCTCTGCCTGGTGCACGGTCTCTATGTCGTGCGGACACTATGACCTCGAAGGAAGGTCTCGTACTTGTTTGTAGCGAGGCAGGGACCCAAAATCTCAAATTCAAAATCCTTTTGTAGTAGAAACATACATCTACCCCAGATAGTTATGCCATAGGGTGGGGGATGTGGCCCTTATGGATGTGGATTCATTCAGGTCCTTAATACGCGTATTAGTAAACAAGCTAAACGCTTACTCGCTCGCTTTCATTAATCTCGTGTGTACATAGATATTTTTATCCAATGTTTTTTGTTGTACGTTTCGTTTCTGTATGTCTACGTTTTGTTTCATGATTTTCTTGTACAAGTTTGAGTATCCATCAAACGCAAACACATGAAGTAACTTTCGTTTGTACGAGTGATTTTCTTAGTATACTTTATCGCATACATACACATCCATGTATTTTTTTTAAATTGTAAAATCTAACATTATTTAAAATGTAACTGTGCATCAAGTGGTGTATGCTTTCGTTTTTATTTTGCTTGTGTTGTGCAGTGTTCACCCTAGTTAATCCTCCTGCCCTTCCACGTAAAGCTGCACGAGCAGCAGAGCAAGTGTTTAGGTTCAGTACAGTCGCAGGTTAATTGCAATTCAATTCGAAAATGGATAGGAAATTACGAAACAAATCAAAAGTAACAGAAGGTGACATGGAGGAGTTTACGGATGAAATGGTAAAAGATGTGAAAGAGTATGACAGTGACGAATGTTTTAGAAGGCGCACAACCAAGCGCAGTATCGGAGAACGCCACCGCGCAATTGTATCAGTGGGCAGTTGCACGGTTGCATGAGACCGAATCAGGCATGAATGATTTGAGTCAATTTATGAATGAGGCTTACGCCGGAATGAATGTGACGTCCGCAGGAATGAGTGAGGCAAGAGAAGGAATGAATGAAGCGCGCAAGGGAATTAAAGGAGTGAGAGAAATGGTTGCACAACAGAGTGAGAATGTTGACAGATTGATTGAGGTAATGACCAAATTCTTGGGTAATCAAGCAAGCATAAATGACAGTGTGAGTTCTGGAACGGCTTCTGATCCTAAAGAAAACGTAAATGTCCAACATGCTAGTAACATAACTACTGCACAGACGGGCAACGCGCACATGCCAATACCGTTGAAAGTTAAAATAGATCGTGACCATACCGTATTACGAGCCGAAGGAAAGTACGGACGCACTGACATGGATTAAGAATTTAGTGCTGGCTCAGACGGATAGAAGTCGTGACTCCCGGTGACGCAGATGAGGTGAGGATGTGTCTTGCGCGGACTTATTGTAAGGGAACCGCTGATGTCTTAATCAACTCGCTCGCGTTCGAAGCAATAAATAGATGGGCTCGTTTTAAAGTGTTGTTGTTAAAACAAAAATTCAAAGGCACAGCGAACAGCAATGACTCGACACCTTGGTGGCAACTACCAATCTTTATGTTACCCCTAAAATAAATTAATCGAGCTTTAAAATCACTACACTACTGTAGTGGACGCATCATCGGTCGCCGCTTTTTGACCGCACTCGACCGTCACCGCCCAGTCCCCCGTGTATTTCGGATGCAGCTGAGATTCCCTTGTGCAACGCCGACGACCATCCCCTTGTTTCGGGTACGCGACGCCTTAACCGCGTAAGGTTAACCTCGCCAGATCCGGCGAAGGTTCTGGGAGACGAGACGAAGCAAGACAAGAGATGAGAGACAGGAGAGCAGAGACGGACAGCGGATTATTTCAGCTTATGTATCCCAGTGTACGCTACCGATTTATTCCCTCGGTCTCCTAATAGTGACCGCGAGTGACCTTGAAATTAATCGAGAGTGAACTTAGTGACCGAGATCGTGATCGTGAGTGACCTTTAGTGGCCGTGATCATGATTGAATACAACCTGAGTGACCGTAGTCATGAGTTAATTAACAGTCCGTGCTTGAGCCTCAGTGAACAGTAACAGTACAGTAATATGAACAGTGTATATGCGTTTGTATATTGTTTTTGTGTAACGTTCTGACGGTCATTTAATATACTTTTGAGTAAATAATTGTTTACCTTTTATATATACCTTTCCATACCTACACATTCCTCTACCATTCAAAGAGTAAAACGAAAGTTCAAGTAAGAATAAGTCACGCTAATGAACACTGAAAACCTGCCTCTGGAGAGAAAGCCTATTTCACGTAAATATTAAAGTTCAGGAGTACTCAACTCAACCTCTAAAATCAAATAAGATTGGCCTTATAATCGTTACACTGTAGTGGACACATCATTGGTCGCCACTTTTGACCGCATTCGACCGCCACCGCCTGGTTCCCGTGCTTTTTCGGACGCAGCCATAATAAGGACGACATCGGACATTTCGCTCGTTTCGGACGGCGCCCAACAATGTAACAAGCCAGTCCGAAGTGTCGAACCATCGAGCAACCTGTCAACAGTACGCGGCGTTTTACCCGCGTGAGGGTGACCTCGCCGGACGAGAAGGAAGTACCGGCAGACGAGAGACACCAGTGAGCAGCGACGGACACATCAGGTTACGTATTCCATATTGTGCGCTTCCAGACTATTTCCCCTGTGCTCCGAGTAACGCGAGCGCTAGTGAGTGACCTTAGTGACCGTAACCGCGAGTGACCTCAAAGTAAACGAACCTGTAATCGTGATCGTGAATAACATTAAAGTGACCATGTTCATAAATGAACTCAAC